ACGGGTGATGCACTAATAACCACCCTCTCTTAAAAAACCGATCTGTGTTTACACAGCAGTTTCACTTCGGCGCTCGATTACGAGAGAAGAGTTCTGGAAACGCGTTGACACACTTTGTACAAAGGCAGCTCTCTTCGAATGTACTTTGTTTCTGTACTATGTACACAAAACCCCCTTTATTGTACGGTTTTCTCTTGCAAAACAATGAAAAACCCTGGAATTTCTGGAAGTGAAACGAGTTAGAGAAGTACAAAATAATTATTCAAAATGCAAAGGTCGAATGACGAATGTTTTCGATAATGGAAATCAATTTTTCTCTTTTTTGCCAAGATCCGAACTGTAACGAAATGTTGCAATATCGAAATTTTCAGGAGTTTAGTCCTTCAGCAATAAGAAACTTCCTGCATGGTTTAGCCCATATGATCTTCAACCTCATTAAGATCACATAGAAAAAGTATTATGGAAAACTATGAGAAAGGTCGAATTTTCAAAAACGAAAAGAGTTAGTGCAAAATAATTTTTCAAATTGCAAAGGACAAATGACGAATGTTTTCGATAACAAAAATAATTTTGCTCTTCCAAGCATACAACTTTTCAAATTTTTACAGATTAGTTTTTCGGACCATGATCTGTGATTTCTTATAAAATAGGAAGATTCATTGAGAACAAGTGGAGGGCTGGAGTTCCAAAATCAGAACGAATTACGCATATAAGGACAAAACATTTTCAGAAGGTGTCTTTTCAACCGCGATTATTTTTGATAACGAAATTTGCTTTTTCTACAAAGTCCCAGAGAGGACCATATTTTACTATCTAACTATTTTACTATTTAACTTTGGATATTTTTCTACAAAGTTGAGTCCTTCAAATATGACGAATTTTCATTTGAGCTTGTAATCGCTAAGAATTTTCTATGTTCTATTGCGTTGTGACATACTTGCACACGATATGTGTGAAATATTTAAGAAAGTAAATAAATCATCGGCAAATAAGTGCCTTGCCAAATCCAGAATGTTGCTGTGATTGGTTATGCTTAAACATTGAGAAAAAGCCGTATAATGCCGACCGAGGACTGGGCACACTTCCCTTAATAATTAGCGAAATTTTCAAAAGTGCTTTACAAAGTTATAATATTGTTTTGGCTAAATTATTGACTTCTGTTCACCAGGAAACCATTTTCCAAGTTTTTCTAAACTTTCACAAAATCATTTCATATTGGGAAATTCGGCTAATGCTACGCCCTCCGCATTTCCCACCTTTTTTTATGAGCCTGTGTTGAAAATTTGGAAAGCATCTCCAGGAATATTCAAAAGTCACGCCTATGCCTCCAAAAACATTTCGGTTTGCCTCCTCTCCCTTATCCTCCTACAATGGCGTACGTCCGAAGGGGGAGGGGGAAAGTTTTTCGCTCCCCCCCCCTCCGGACGGAAATGGTACGTCACTGTCTCCTAACCATCTCAAGAAATTTTCTAGGATCGTCACTGGATGGATGTTATCTAATCAAAACTGAGTATGTGAAGACAATTTTTGGATATTCTGACTTGCAATTCAGCTAATATCATTTATGTTTCCTTTTTTACCTTCCGAAGGTATCTTCCACAAAGAATTTGCGCACAGTTGCATGAAATTTCAAAAACTATATTTTTCAGCGCAATAGTTTGGAAACCGGATTTTGCAACTGTGTGGAGTAAAAATTGCTCCAGAATATTTTTGGAATGACTTTGAAAAAGAAAAAGGAAGACTTTTAAAAAGGTTGATTGCATCTTGCAGCAAGGTGCTTCGAATTAATTAAACAACTTTTCTTTCTCAAATTGATATTCTGTTCCAGTACCAGTAGCAGCGACTGCAACTACTTTTTCCCCTACTTGATAAATGAAAATATTTATAGTCAGGCTCGCTCGGTGTCATTGCAGCATTCCATAAACACATTCTGTCGAATGGCTGCTTTTTCAGTGGCTCTGCGAGCAGAGCACAGAAGAGCGAATTAATGGCTGTGTCGATTCTCTCATTTGATATTGGACCATAAGAATAATAGGATGACCGGAATGGATGATGTGCCGTGATTTGGCGAATGCATAAGGCTGAATGTGGGCTGTGGAAACGGTAAAAGTAGTAGAAAAATAGGGCACGAAAGCTTGGATTTTTTTTCTTAAAAAATCCCTTTTAGCTTAAGATCCACGCATATACGCTTATAATTTAGCGGTATTGAATGTAAAAACTCGTACTAAACTGGTATTTGATACTTATTTTGATGAAAAAAAACCGTCTAGAATTATTGGGGAAAGTAAAAGATTTTCAAAGTCGTCTCTGCACAGAAACATTGATTTTGTCTCAATGTACTGATTTATATCTAGGTTATTCTTTTTTCAAAAAAGTTTCTGTTTCATTTTCTGTGAAAAATACCCAAGAAAGAAACGTGAAATTACAAAATAATCATTTTTGAAAAGCAGTTTTGAGCATTTTTTCAACGAACTGACATGAGATCTATCCAGAGCAAGGGATTTGTCCTTTTTCGAAGAGATTCCCGTTTCATATAATATAGAATTCGCGCGCAATGGAGAACATGACGGTTCTTGCTTGTAGATTTAGCGTACCAAACTTAGTCAAACCTCTGACTAACGTGTCACTTTTGGTAGTGGCCAACTCCGCCCATGCCACGCCCCTTTTTGGCATCTCGTATTTGATGTTCAAGTTCTTGGCGCCTTGGCACACATAGCCGTAAAACCCTTGAACATGCAGTCAAGTTATTCGTAACTCAATTTGTGTACTGCACGCCAAACAAGTTACTTCACGACAAGTGTGCTAGCGTCCTACCCATTTTAAGAGATTTTTTAGGGTTTTTTTATTCTTTTCAAGTATTCTATGTGCACTATTCCGTTGATATCCATCTCTAATGGATTTGTTTGCATTGAATTAGTTTTACAAACTAACTGCACCAAGGACATGGAGTCCCGCGCGGAATGTGCAAGCATGATATCAAACTGTAATGGCCCAGGTGCAAGAATTTGCATTGTTGGTTTTTTAAAGTTGTTATATCCAAACCTTAAACCAGTATAGCTATCCCCTTCATTTTCTTACCTCCCAGTGACCGCCCTCTAGTCCCTCACCCCCGGCCTTGTCCTCCCCTCTCGATCTCGGCACTTGTGTGCGAGTATCCTAACAATACCGTATCGTTTTCATTCTCGTTGCGCGCAAAATCGGGACCGGTTTTTTGCATTGAGTGGAAGTACTCGGTGGTGCATGTGCATTTACTAGTATCCTTTTCCATAAGTGTCATAAGGCATTACGGATTGCCCGAATGGGCGCCCCCGCCACTCGTATACCCTCCCCTCCACCCGCAAAATAGCGACCACCATCATCAATGCATTTGCTCTGTGCCTCAGTGTTGCAACGAGACGACGACGATATAGGCCGATCATTAACACCCCGTTGTGAGTGACAGGCCGAATCCGATGTACGGACATATCTCTACCCGAGTGGGGGTTGGGTCGCGGGCAATACAACATTATCCGCCGCTCGTTGTGTCCTTTTCTGCTGCCGCCTCTGATGTCCGTTGATGGAGATGTACGGGTTTCGGAGGGGGCCACAGGGCTCGTATGTTTCATTTTTGCGCGCGCCCGAGTCGTTTTAGTGGGGTCTAAGCCTCATTCCGCGTTGTTCGTACATAATACATACCGCGAGCATGTGTGATTAGCTGATGCGATTGTATCGATTTCATCACCGTACTATTTTCTCCACCCCCCCCCCCCTCACCCTCTCCCCCGTACCATTCCCCTTGTTAAAAATCCCCTACCTACAAGGCTATACAAGCTTCAGCACAAGGCGGGGCCAAACTCTTCCTCTCGTCTCCTCTCCGGTGGGCGGAGCCAGCACCAAGGCGTGCCGGCGGCGGCAATCTGCCAATGCGAGCGTGTCGCGAGGGCGGTACGGTTGCGCTCGCGCCACGCTGCGCTCTCCACCTCTTGCGTGCTAACTCGTCCACGTGTTCGCTGCGTGTGCTGACCTCAGATGATGTTACTGACCGCTCGAGGTCATTCCCCGCTAGCCCGTCGTCGTCGTCGACCTCCTCTCCTCATCCACTCACCTCCTCATATATTGCGCCATACTGCCCTATTAATTCTCCTATATTGATCCTGAAGATGCTGACCTAGGTCAAGCGGATCTTTTCGTAATAGTCTCGATTTTATCCAGAATGTTCCTCCATTTTCTTTTCTGAAAAATTGTTTGGAAAATTTTTGAGCAGCTTTTCCATTTCTCCCAAAAAGCCGTACACTATAGTTTGTTTCCAACTCACGGGTGCTTGTATTCCAGAATATTCTTTGCAGTTTTCCTGCACATCCTTGTAAGTAACAACTTCTGACCTGCCCAACATGTTTTTGATCTCCCGCGAATCCATAATTGACGCGTTTGGCGGCAAACCTCACATGTTCAAACCTGTGCCAGGCGTCATTGTGCGCGTAGCAACGCTTATTAGCTGGGCTGCTTTCATTCAAAGTCATCTTATTTCTATACCTTTTTGTTCTTCCTGTCAATAACTTACTTAAATGATTCCTTTGATTTTTTGAATCGTAAAGATTTTTTAACGAAGTGAAACTTTTTTGCATGTAATTATCTATGCAAATTCTCGCTAGTCTTCTTCTATTTTCCATAATCTTTGCATAATTTAACGGCTCCAGCTTTAGCGCGATTGCTGAAATATATATTTACATACTCTCTACCATCTCATGTCTCCTATGTAAACGGACACCAGCTCTCAACTAAATTTGTTTATTTGCTTTGTCACTCACAATGTCCTGATACGCGCTATCAACAGTTGTCCGCTCGACGACCTGACCTAGTGGATGATGATTCATGGCGATGGATATGTACTTCATCGCTTAGTCATCGTCTTTATTCTGCTACCTGTTCCTATTGTGTTGTGAATCATAGCCATTTGCGTAAATGCGTATTTCATAATGTGTTTTCGCAGCTGTGAAGTTTTGGAAGTGAATGGCTGCTATTTTTAAGGTCATCGGTAGTCACTAACGACTAAATACACACACACACAAAGCACACCACTATGTCAGAAGAGAAGAAGATTGTGATAGAGACTGTTGTAGTAGAGACCACTGTACAGGAAGAGCCACCAGCTCCGGCTCTTCCGACAACTGAACCTCCAAAGGAGGATGTTGGGAAGCCCATTGAAGCTGAGGTAGGATTTTTGGAACATCTTGCCCGTCTTCTTTCTCCTCCAAGTTGTCCGTGTTCCTGTTTTTTTTCAAGCGTACGCACACAGTAGTTATTTTCGTTTGTCAACTCTAGGTTACTGAGGCAACCAAAGTCGAAGAAAAGCCGGCTGAAGAGGTCGCGAAAGAAGAGAAACCGGCTTCACGCATCTTCAAGCGACCTACTTTGAAATGGGGCAAAAAACGCGACGAGCATGCCGCTCCCAGGGAGCCAGAACAAGCCAAGGATATTCGAGAAGATGCCCTTGGTTGGATTGCACAACAGATACCCCCTGCTGTGCACAAGGTATTGGAAAAATGCCAAGACATCTACAAGGGTAGAACAAATATTCTAAATTTCTAGGTGAATTACCACGTTTTGGATTGGGCACAGAAACTCGCCTATGAGGATTCGGAACGACCTGCTCTGCCTGGAAAAGACTGCTCGATGACCCGTAATCAGTTCTTGGCCCACCTGCGTGATGGAAAGCTGCTTTCTGCGTTGGCTAATAAATTACAGGTAATTATTTGCTGGTTTCTCATCGTCGCCTTTCACTTTCCTCGCAACTTTTCTTCACTGCAATCTCATGAATGATTCTTTGGATTTATTGCTATGCAGCGCTATTTCTTTTAATTATAGCGCAATGTGTTAGATGAGTAATGGGATGACAGTTCGCATTGTATGCGATATTATATGACACATGCAGGAGAAAGTCCGCGTCATGGTATGAAGATAGCTAGAGAGAAACATTTTGTTGTAATGTTTCATGAGAAATTTAGTATCCCTGAGAAGAAACGTTTTTTCTCAATCCTGTATGGCATTTCCATCTTTTTCTTATGTTTCGTAACAACTAGAAATTGTTTCTAAATGTTTCTTTTTTCAGCCTGGTGCGGTCTCTGTGGAACCTGAAATTGTTGCCGTTGTAGAAACTGCTCCAGTTACTACATTGGCTCCTGCCGTCGAAGTGACAGAACCTGCTGCTGCTGTCGCTGCTCCCGCTGAACCAGAAGCATCCGGTGATGCTGAGAAGAAAGATGAACCGAGCGCTGAGCCAGCTAAGCCCGAAGAAAAGCCTGCCGCCCCTGTTGAGAAGTCTCCGAAGGAAAAACAGGCCGAACTCGTTGGCAAATTCGCGTCATGGGCCAAAGAAAGCCTTGGTTTGGATGAAAGCAAGGTGAGATTGTTGTTGTTATTGGTAACTGAAATTTGAAGTGAGCTGTATGGTGTGGACGTAAATAACGGAAGGGGGGGGGGAAGTCAATCAAAAATGCATGGCTTTTGCATGGTGCAGAGTGATGTACGTCAAGTCACCCATGGGAGAATTGTGCAAGAATGTTGGAATTCTGTCTGTTGATGGTTTGGACAAATATGTCAGCGAGTAAGACTTTCTGTGATCTGCGGACCCCTATAATTCTGGTAGAGTGTAGAGTGTAGTCATTTGGTTCGGTATTGCGTCTGACCTTTTGTGCATAGAGTAATGACCTCCAGAAGTAAAGGAGGTTGCCGAAAATCAGATATGAAGACGACATGGGTCAGGCAACTGACAGATGATTGCGCCTATACCGATTGACGCGCTTCCTATGACTCAAACAGTCGAAGTTAGCCAGCATTGTGTCGGTACTTTTGTCCAAGTCTGACGAGTCGGCTAACCTCATAAAGAGGCGATAGTGTGGCTTAGTGCGATGTGCGCGTACTCGGCTTATGTGCCCTTCAAGGTCAATGAAGCGCATCGCTTATTTGATCTAGGGATAATCTTCTAGCTTGGCAGTTAGCCAACAGTGCTTGCTTAATGTTTATCGTTCTCAAGCACGAAATTGTGGAGATCTAACATGGAAAAATCTTGGTGCACTTTTGGGAGTAAAGGAAGGAAGGGGGGGGGGAGTAGTCCAGGTTTGATAATCGCCCAACTTCAGTTACGTAAGCGGTAATCTGGGTTTGGAGATTTTTCCTTATATTTGGACTTTTTGTGGCTTTACAATTACGCGCTGGAAGAAGAATATTCGTACAGCTTCCTTCAAAAGTAATTTTACGACTCCTCACTCAAAATCATAGAACTGAATTGCCAAAGTTACGACTGAGGATAATATGCAGATTCATAGGGTATCCTATTTCAACTGAATGGTTTTTACTAAAATTAGTACCAACGGTGTTAGTCTTGTTGATACTAATCTGATGTGAGTAAAAATTGTTCAGTTCTATAGAACATTTCCTATACGTCTCCATATTATCCTGTGTAGTAAGCTTCAATTATTCACAATTTTACGACTACTCACGGATCATAAAATGACTTCTGGGTCAGAAGCTGTACAAATATTTGTTTTAGATATAGGTTTATGACCACTTTCACCTTATCGCTGACCATGTTGTGGTTTGACTGAGTTCCCCGTTGCAACACAGCGTTCGATAACGGCGTCTGTGCTCTCAAAATTGCGCAAGTTTGGGTTTATTGCGACCTGGTCTGGTCCATCCGTAGCGCTAGCGAATGTTGCACTCATGAAATTTGATATGGGAACAGACATTACCAAGTGGGTCCGCGACGCGTTCGACGTGCGCGATTGTCTGTTAGGTAGGAAGAGATGCGCGACAGCCACAAATATGCAAATGGACTTGCGATGTGATTGATGACGACATCTTCACCAGACAGATCGGCTGCTGGTGTAATGCAATACACTTGGAAGGAGATATGAAGAGTGTTCCTAGATTGAACTTTCGCGATTAAAAAAGCGCTAACGGTTACGAGTTTTGAAGGTTACTCTTCGCGTATCGAACGTGTTCCGTTACTGGCAATTTTGAGTGCATCGAAAGGCCGTTGCTGTGCTGCGGCGTTTGCGACGAGTATTGCCATGATTATCGAGAAGCGAGGCCATTAGTGTTCGGTGCCGTTTTCGCTTGACTTAATTGTCTTTTCTGACGGCTCTGCAGACACCAGTGCTCTTTCAATTTCGCTAAGGATTACGCGCTTCTGTAGCATTTTGCGCCCGAGAGCTGTGTCGAAATCTTCTTAGCGAAAGTTTCGAAAGGCTTTAGAGGTTGGGTTGAGGGTTACGTGGGAACTGGGATATGCGGGAGTTGGGTATTATGAAACTTTTGATCTTTCTGACAATATTTAATTGCGGTTCTTTTTTCAGGCTATGACCGCCGCAGACCTGCTCGAGAAGGGTAAAGCCGGCTACCCAGCTGTCTTTGAGACCCTCTGGCAGCTTGCACTGAAAGCGCAGGAGAAATTTAACAAAGAAGCAATTGACGTAGATGCAGTACTGGCTGCGGCAAGCCAAGTCGTCCACACAAACATCATCCAGACGATCCTAAACTTCTTCAGGGTAAGCATTTTTGGTGATTTTATCTTTGAGGCAGGTTTGTCTATTTGTTCTGTTAGCAGCGTCGTCCAGCAGCTCCTGTAGCTGATAAGAAAGACGAGCCAGCACAACCTGATCCAGCAGCCGGAGATGCTGCGCCAAATGCACCAGAAGGTGAACAAGTGGCTGAGGAAGAATGCAAAAAGGTAGTCTTCTTAGTTTCCAGAAAACCCAGCCTTATCAGTTTTTGATTTCTATGATTATAGGTCGATGCCTTAACGTCGCCGGCAGTTGCGGCAAACTAGGCTCTTCATTCAGGGGCCCGCTCACTGAGTGATCGGGCTCAAATTTTCCTCCAGATCTGCCGGTTGTTTCTTCCTCTCGTCCCCCCAATCTTCACTAAATCTTGTTCTGCAGAATGCTGATCCCATCTGGTAGGTTTCCCTTTCGTCTCCAGCTATACGATTTACGCCTCACTCTCCCAATTCTTCTTGTTGTAATGGCGGTCTGGTATAGCACCATAATCCGTAACAACCATTGGTGACAGATAATTGCTGCGCAAGCCAGAAAGTGTTGGGAACCACGCTGTCGTCGTTGTTTTTTAACCGCAGACGCTCGCGTTAGTCTTTTGATGTTCGCAAATGAGCATAGCGCGTGAAATGAGCGAAATCTGTTTAATGGCGTGTTGGATACGTTGATAGGAAAGCCGCCGCATTTTGTGAGTATAAGTGTCCTTGTGTTCTTGCTCAGATTTTTATCGGCGCAGTAAGCTGACAGAAAGATTTATGAGTCATCGTTTGTACTAAAACCAAATAGCTATCAGAAAGTGCTAACTGCGTGTATAACACATGTGGTAGAAATGTGGAAGAACTTTTGCCGGAAGTAAGCACTTATTGAACGCGGAAAGCACGTATTGTGAGTAGACGCGACGACGGTGTGCATTCCGCGCGAGCTTTTGTTTTGCACTGGCGCAACCACCACCGGCAGCACACGGCTGGTGTTTATCGTCTATGCAAATTAGTGGCTGATTGTGGCCGTGTGCTTGGATAGATAGTGCAAGAGCGATGAGAGTCGCTATGATGCAGATTTGCGATGCTATTTGAGCGACTCGCATAGCAACGAACGACGATCTGAGAGCATCTGGTGCGATTGCTATCTGCTCGGCTCAATGTGGCAACCACAGCTCGCTGCATCTTTAGCGCATATGTTTGGGCCCCACATTGCTACTACTGTAGCGTACGGGATCGTACTCGGTAATGCGACACCAGCCGGTGAAGGTCGCTACCGGAAATGATTAGGGAAATTATGACGCGGGGAGACAGGAAGAGAGGGAGAGATGCGGTGGGGGGGGGGTGTTGGTAGAGTGAGCGGCCTTCGAGAACATTCATGATGAGGTCGTGTCGTCGTGTGATGAGTACGATGACGTTATAATGGGTGTTTACCTTATGGTAAATTGGAGACCTTAATTCTACCTAATGCCGAAAGAAAAGAAGTGTTCCCATCATGTTCAGAATGATTTTGAGAACTAGGAAGAACTTGAAAGGGAGAGAAGCTTACACTGGCAATTCGAGAAGAGATGTTATAACTAGACGCATCTTCAAACCCTATCCAATCTGCTTTGCTTTTTCTGTACAACTCTCCGAAAGAAGTTATGAGCGTTTGAACCATATGTCAGACCTTAAATGGCATAATTAGCGAAAAGCTGTACAAAAACACGTGGTAATTGTTTGTATCAAGTACACTGACTACACGGAAGGAACACAATCAGCGCAAACTGCAACTGTTTTCGTACAGATTTCCCTAATTACATGCCACTTAGGGCTTGCATTTTTGGACTTTGAACGCTCATAACTTCTTTAGGAGAACTGTTTCGCGAAAACAGGAAAGCAAACTTGGAAACAGCGTCTAGTGATGCACTTTATATCAAATTATACTACTAACAAGTTTAATGGCATCTATTACAGATCTGCTTTCGACGCGTTGCGACTCGTTGTCGTTTGCGGTACTCAGAGCTTCATTTGCCCCCAACATTATTAGTCTGTTTGTTTTTTGCCCTCTCTGTGTAATTCCATAAGTCATCATTTCTCTGTAAATGATTTGTTTTGGATTATCTTAATGTGTATCCCTTGAGTTTTTCTTGCATCCTTATGTACTGATGTATGATTTTTATTTTTCGTGCAAGAAATCGGTTCGAGGGGCGTATCTGGTAGCTGATAGCTTGATATTTTGTCATAATCATCATCTTTTCGTTCAATTGCTGTTTTGCGTTGATGTGGTGATTTGGTGATTATATTATGAGACTAAGGCGAGAGAAATTGTGAAGAACTATAAACGAACGCCACATCTTCGCCTTCGTTGTTTTCTTCATCATTCATTTTTCTGTATGTATTCTTCATATCCGCAAGAGAGATTTCTTGTGTTTTGGTTCGACCTCAAAACCTGGGGGGCGATCATCAATGATGCGTATGTTCGTTATAGCATATTATGCCTCTATTTTCATGAATATTTTGGAGAAAATTTTCATGTGAACATTCTTCAATAATATTGTTTGGCACAACACGACGCTTTTGTTGTGCTGTTCATGTTTATTGACATTGTGCTTGGTCTTCATCAGCTTGCTGTGTGTTGACGTGCAAATTCACCGAGGTAATAAAAGTCGCCTTTATTTGTGCCGGCGGATGTGGTGTATTCTTCTTCGAGATGTTGGCGTCTTAAGATTATTCCATTAATGCTGCCACATACTGCACGCTTTGAATGTTAATCAAGAGAATTGTATTCGGGCTGGCTCGCTCTTTTGCATCATAGCTTCATCATGCAAAGCGAGAAGCTGCACGAATGAGTGCAGTGCACTTTTGATGTGGGGCGAAAGAGATCCATTTAGAATGGCGGAGCCGAGAGGGTGGTGAAAGCGGCGCCAAATTGAATTTTTTATTGTTCCAGTAATAGAAGATGACTTCGGGGCAAGGGGTAGATGATGATATTGTGGACAGATCGCAATTCTTCAAATTATGAGCAGGGATTTCGCGATTTAACGCGGGCTTGTAATGTGACAGTATGACAGCGAGTCCAATGGTCCTGCACGGATCGTGGAGTGCTCTTAATAATTCTTGGAGTACAATAAATTACTTACGTCATATGTGAATGTTAAGAGACGTGGGGACAGTGGCAGATGTTTCTTTCATGGCTAGAAAACGACATTTAGCCGAAAAAGATATTCTGTCTGCAATTGCACAAAAGTGGATCCGCGATAGACTCGTGCGGTCTTCCTTCAGTAAAATGCTGGTATTGACATTGAAGCGTTTTTCTTTTGAGCAGTGCAATGTTTACTGTCTGCAGTTGCACAAGAGTGGATCTACAGCAGACCCAAGGTTTTATATAGGGTTGTTCTTCCGTAAAACGATGGTGTCTATTTTAGGGCTTTTTCTCACTGAAGAAAATAAAATGGACACTCAAAATAACAAGTGAAGGTAGAAAATTTATGACAGTAAATGAATCATTCTAAGTCACAAGCGAGAAAATCGTATAATTTTTTACGCTACAAAGATGTATAGTGTGCAGTTACATAGACTGGCGAAGATCTACGACTATACGACTATACAGACACAGACATCGTAAATCTTTTCCATATAAAAAGAACTGAAGATAAACAACTGCCTTTTTCGACCATTTCAATTCTCGCTTGACGAGCCGCTCAGCTCAGCTCCAAAAAGCTTTTTTTGTTCCGAACACTGCACTCTTCTCGTTCGTTTTGTCTATCTACCGCAATCGGCTTCTTTCATCGGCTGCACTGCCATTCCTTTCGCCTCCCCTGGGCATTGCCATTCATATGGCGTATACTGCGACACTTTGCAATGAGCTCATTTGGCCGCGGGACCCGGAATTATCCGGAGGGAGTAAAAAAAGGAAAATGGATGCGAGCTAAGAGGTTTTGCGGGGCGAAAACGAATGGAGATATATAGGGCAGTGGGTGTATAAATACGAAGGGACGATGGGAAAGTGGTGTAATTGCGGACAACATGTTATGTGAAATGAGATGCGTCCATGAGAGATTATGTGATGGTGTATTCGTAGATATACAGGTGTGGACGCGTCGAGTGAATGGCGCTATTGAGTCGTTAAATCGGGAATAGACGTGTGTCTACAGGTGGCTTTACTTCGCAAACGCGTTGTAGGGCCAAGATCCGGGCAAAAAGTGTGCAATTGCACAGATTAGGGAATTTCGTGTTGCGGCGATTGTAACAGTGGTAAAGAAGCTATTACGACGATGTTCTTGGGCGTACTCGTAATCTGTTGTTAGATTAATTTTTTTTCAAGAACTTGCTGATTGTTTTTGAGATTGACCCCCCCTTTTTTTGACAGCGCATACACCGTACTGTTTCATTAATCATGTAATTTTGTGAAATCCAATCTCGACACCTGCAAATTGAAAGTAGATATACGGAGACGTTCGCAAAGTATAGCGGAGATAATTTCGTTTTTTTTTTTGAGATTATGTGATTTCTGGAAGGTTCATATGGACTTTGAAAGTGACGTGATTGCGGACAACAAGCCATTTGAACAGAGATATTCAATGTATTGATGGTAAGGTATGTAGACTTCTAAGTTATACTTTCTTCCATATTTTACAGTGGTTATTTTGAGAATCATGGAATAAAATGTTTTGAATGGCAATTTTTTTGGAACTTTCTGGGGTATTCCCTGTAAAATTCCTTATTTAGCTCTTCGTTTTGGATTACAAAAGTATATTTTGAAACAATCTTGAGAGGCGTTTCCTTCGCGCTCTTTTAAGCCTTTTTTCGGAATTTCTTTTTTTTTGAGTTTGTGTGAACTCTTTCTCAAAAAAAAACTTTACCGTGCTAGCGGAGTACAGAAATAATTTGCTGAAGCAAAAGAAAGACTTTTTTCTTAGAGGAGTTACGCTGTTTTTTTTTTTTCGCTGTAACAGACACTTTTGCACTTTGACATTAATGAGAACTTGTTCCATCTTCTAGTGACGATCAACAAAAGAGCATGAGAAGGTGACAAACGTCGAAAAGATCCTGTTTTTCCATCTTCGAACTTTTTTCCTTGGAAAATTGCCAATAGTAGTGGCAGATGGAATATTCCGTGTAACTAAGGTTAGTACATGTATATGTACATAGTAATGTCACGCTATGTGTACATCAAATCTATTTTTAGAATCTAGGTTAGATATTTACTTGGACATAATTCATGGGAGAATTCGATTTTTTCCGGGATTACGTATGGCGAACTGAAATTGCTAGATATCGTTACTACGGTTACCGTCAATATTTTCTTTTTCTTCTTACTTTTTCAGAAAATGTTAAGTCTTACGTAAACAGAAATGTGGAATATTTGCTTGCTATTGCTTTGTGTATGTATCGACATTTCTATAGTACAAAGCTATCGTCTGCAGCAATAGAATTTGTTTCTAGAATTAAGGGCAAACGAGGGAACGCGAGCTGTGTCCAGCTATCAAATTAGAGCACTTTTTTGGATTTCGTTCGTTGGAATGCATGGCAACAAATTCGTTGTGCCGGACGAAGGCAACGCAATGACGAGACCTTAGAAGGGAATATGGTGGGAGGGAGATATCGGGAAAGGGAGGGGGGGGGGGAGATTTGGCAATTTGCCAACAAGCTTGAGCTTTGGTAGTTTCGAATGGTATTTACTGATAATTCGGATACAATTTTGATTTTATGTTTCCATTATAGACGTTATTATAGATTCTATCAGCCAGAAAATGTGTAATAAAAAATCTTGATCAATTTCTCAGTTTTCTTGACATTACTAACCATAAGTCTTAAAAAGTTGTCATTTCAAAATTCACTTGAGCGAAGATTCACGAAATTCCATGCAAATTGCCTTGTACCTATGTTTACCGTACACCTGTATTTTGTGTACGGTAGGCATACTGTAAAAGGCCAATCTTAGCGATTACGAAAATTTACGAAAATGCTAACTGAGATCTACCACAACACTCTCATTTATGGAACCCCCTATAGAAAGTTTTAGGCAAATCTTTTCAAATCCTTGCAGCAAATTACCTTCTACCGTATCCCTACCGAATGCTGATGCTTACTATAGGTACATGTTTAACTGCTGGAATCCAATTTTGGTGGTTATTAAAATGCTAAGTCATAATCTTGTTCAATTTCTGAATCTCCTTTTTGGACTTTCTTAGTATGCCGCTTACTGTAGGTGTACGGTAGGTTTTGAGCGACAATGTGATTGTAAATTGTTGAGTAAGTTTATGATATTGCTAAGAATTATACAACACTCATTCGTTCTCGTGATATGGCAAAATAACATTAAAGCATGTTGCTCTTTTCGTACGATAAGTATAGCGGTGCATCCCCATAGGCATACGGTAGATATACTGTAAGGGACCGGTTTTGGCAGTAATACAATACAATATAGTTTTTAGGAAATATTACGCTCTTTTGCGAATTTTCACAACCACAGCAGAGTCTATGAATTCAGTGCCACCTTTTGTGCCAGCCTTTGATAAAGAAACCTGGCGTCAAAACACGCCAGGCAGTGCTAGCCTTTCCGTGCCTTTCATCCGTCCGTCCACATCTGTCGCGTACAGGTGCTTTGTTCCAGAGGAGCGCATTTTGACTAATTGAGCAAGCAATTTGTATGCCGAAATGGGTTTTCGGTTGCCATCATGGGCGTTGTTAGCAACATGGGGACAGGGAGGTAATCTATAGCGGGAAACTTTGCTGGAAACCCAATTATACGGCTTTCTACTCGCACATAAACTAGGCTGGGGGCTTTACAGCCAAATTAAAATTCTGCTATTCTGCCCCGTAGTGGAGTGGAGACATCTGGAGGGGGATATTATTGCTCTATGGGTCCGGGGAAGGGGGGCTCAATGTATTAGCTGCACGCGAGGTCAATGCAATGAGCTAAGCACAGGCTCTGGCCATTCCACTCACAACACATTTGTGGGCTAAACACATCCGAAATGAGAACACCATATTGTGCGGTACGTAATTACGGACGCCGAGGGGATTACGCGAAAAGCTGGAATCGAGCCGGAGGTCTTCGTGCGCACACATCGATACAATCTGAAGCATGCCAGATTCTAATCGCGTGTTGGTTCGGAGGCGAATTCATTGCGGATGAATTGACACATGGTCTCTTGGCTTTTGACTGGAACGGAACGCAGCGATGGGGATCGTTTTGGGAAATGTTTAGATGTCAGAATGAAGCCGGAAAAAAACGTGGAAAATGTTGATGGGAATGCAGTTTGGCGGGTAGGAAAAAACTTCGGAAACGTTCCCTTGTGGTTTCGAACTTGGCTGAAACGATGCCGAGCCAAGCAGAGGACTGGAATTTATAGTCTGAAGTGGAAATGAGGGGGCTAAGCGCATTGCTTTTGTTTTAGAATACTTTTATCTCCCTCTCGCCTCAGATCTGTAGAAAAACGAGTATAGCATGATCTAAACCATTATTGAAAAAGTCCATTAAATTCATTTGCCGTCTGTTTTTTTCTCACCCAGTCTCATATTTTATGGTAGTATGATCTAAAATATGAAAGGCAAATAGCTTATAAATCATAGATTATGAACTTTGACATTCAACCTAGTTCTCGTAACTTCTACGCTGTTTAGTGAATATCAAGAAAATTAACCAACAACTGGTTTTCCATATATCTCGCATGCTTTGAAATTAATGTGGATGTTTAGAGATCAAAATGGAAAGATAAGATCGGAATTTGAAACTCTAACAACATACCTGATGCATGGATCGCTAATCAATAAGTAAAGTAAATTTATTCGAAAAATTTGGATACTTTTGCTGGAATGACGCCTAGGTGCTAGCCAACCTTTAACTGAGCCTGCTTTGGGACTAGGTTATTTTGCAAGGATTCGAAAGAATGGGGCTTTCTGTACTCAAGGAAGACTCAGTTTTTCTCCAAGTTTTGATCTTCGCCTTAGCATTTATAACACTGCAAACTTCGTGGCCCATTTCTCTTCACTATTTTAGGGAGAATCGAGTACTTAGCTTTTAAATAGCAATCAAAGGCTTCAAGTTTTTTCTAATGTTGTGCAGCAAGCCTGAAGGAGTTAAATGATTTTTTGGTCAAAACAAGTTTTGGACTTATTTATAGGTGAATACAATCTACAATTTCATGTAGTTCTGATTATTTTCTCCTTCCTTATCCCTTTCATGGACTTCTTTTTCACTGTAATGAGATTTTGCTGAAACTAGCAAGAAAATCCCACCATAAAAATTTCACTGGTTCTGAAAATTTGCTGAAATGGCACGTGATTTGCAATGACGACATCAGGCTCAAAGTACTTACTCTAATCCTACAACAATGGGCAAGAATGTCATTAACTGTAACTTATGAGCAAAATAAGACATCTGAATTATAACGTAAGTTTGTCAAGAATTTTTGCAATTGTTTCCTTTACTAGTGAGCTTATTCAACCGCTCCCAACAAAAATGAGAGCAGTCTCGAAATTGGAGATCCTCACTGAAACCGTATGTCAAAATGATCATTTTTTATAATATTATAGTTTCGAAAATGAATTACAAGAATCTTTGCGAGCACAGCTGCAATAAATCTGAACCAAGGACGAAAAAGTCCAACCTGGAACAATTTAGCAATGAATGGCTACTTAACCATTAATAAAGTAAATCATAACTTTCTTTCTTTGAGACTATTATATGTTTCTGCAAATATGGACGTTTATTGATTGCTTTCAGACAAAACGACCTTGCCTTAATTCGCATAATCTACTGTTCTTCATCTATAATACCCATAACTTTCTCTGCATTTGCACTATGAGGTCATTTTTGCAGCAATTTTCCATTTGCAGAGTGCAACCGTAGCGAGAAAAAGAAGATTAGCGGGCGCAGATGAGGCATGAATGGCGCTATACATACACAGAGAGTCGATGGTGTTCCGTTGTGTCATCTTTCTTGTCGCGATGGCGTTATCTCCATCGCGTCGTTTCTTCTGCACTTCGTCTTTGTCACGACCTCTGTGTTCGGCAAAATGATTGATGTTCCCGGCTTCGATGGCTATTTTAATTGGGAAACCCCAAGCCGCGCCAATGACGACGGCGGCTGCGGCGGCGGCGGCGGCGGCTTCGTTCTACCGCACTAATGGCGCATGAAAAGCATGATGATGGGAGACGAATAGGGGACGGGGGGAGAATCTTAAATTACATTTTAAGAATGGAATAGAATGCTAATTTGGCTTCTGCTCAAAACTGAATAGTACTATTTTTCTTATGGCCAACTAATTTAGCTCTAACATAAGCAAAGATTCATACCTTACTTATATATGGCTAACTTAGCAGCTATGAAACGAAAAAAAAAAACGATTTCTTATACATAATTGGTTAGTTTTGAATAAAATTCTATTTTCCTTATAGCTGGAGTTTACTTTAATTACACCAAACAAAAAGACATTTTTTTAGCTATCTAACTTAGCTCTCACTTGAAATCGAAAATTTACTTTTTTGTATCTCTATTTTGCTTCATGAGAATGGTTATTATTTCTCTTACAGTTTGATTTAGTTCTAACTTATGATCAAAATCTACCACCAATTCATAAAGGAATTATTATCTTCTTATATCCGGCTTTCTTAACATTGACTTGAAACAGAAATCTCTTATTTTTCTTATAGCTGGGTAATTTAGCAACAAACTTAAATCAAAAATTACGTCTCTTTTGTGCTATTTCATGATAGTATTCACTTAAAACTCAAAATCACCATTTATTATCATGAAGACCTAATTCCATCTCTAGCTTGTTGAATTGATTAATTATTTTCGAAGAAAGTTACTTAGGCTCAAACGAAAGACCCCAAAGACAACGAATTACCATTGTTCTTGTAGCTAGCCTATTTATCTCCGACTTGAAACCGAAAAATTTTTTTTGAACTGCAGCTATTAGTCGTCACAACCATAAACTCTTTTTTCTTCTCGTTGCAAAATGAGCGTGGAAAACTGCTGTATCAAGAGCTGTAGTAGTGGAAAGGTGCCCTTGTCAGCTTTGAGAAATGAATCTGCACTTTTTGAAAGCAGCAGTTCAGAGTAGCATTCTTTAGTCCCCCACTAATGGCAGAGTTAATGCGAAAATGGCCAAGCAGGGGTGAAGGGATTTTTACGGATTTTTTTGGAGCAAGTCTGTGAAAATTTTCCTCTTTCCCGGAGATTATTTCAGCCGATTAGTTCTGGCAAATTCGATAGGTCCAAATTCACACAATGTTGCTTGGAAATGTACAAGAAATGGTACTTCAAGCTTTCGTAATTTCTGAGATCAAAGCACTAACCTACTCACTCCTATGTGCCCCAGATCTGCCTAAGTACTGCCTGCAAATAATGGTAATGGAAAAATGATAAAATAATTTTTCCATTCTCGGTAGGAAGAGTACCGAATTCCCTTCAGCTCCTTTGTGCTCTTACATGGACGTACACACTTTCTCCGAAACATATAAAAAAAGTGGAGTCTGTAAACCTGTTTCTTTGAAAATACAGATACAAACAGGTTGAGCTTGTTGAAAAAGGATTAAAGGCAGTGTCTCACCAAAATTTAGTTGCCGAGATTCTTGCATATTGCAAGTCTGTCGGATTCTGTCTAGCGCTGTATCGGCTTGAAATCGCACAAGTTCCCAAAAACCCCGTTTTCTGGAGGCCCCGCGGAAGCAACGTGGACGAGTTGTTCCTTCCAACTTCAGCCTCAGCCACAGTGGCAGCAACAGAGGGGAGGTGGATGCTAAGTGGAGGGACATGTTCAAACGCGTAAGGCGGGAGACCGAAGGAGTCGTCCGCGCGTATCAAAACGTTCTCCGAGTACCACTTTGAGCGAATTTTTCTCAGCGTGGAGTCAAACTGAGTGGGACTTGTTGCAATGGCCTATTTAGAGGTCCCTATAATAGAATAGGTGAAGATCCGCGCGGCCTCAATTTTGGTGAGACACTGCCTAACTGGCATCACAGTAATTTGTAGGTGTAGCATTTTCGTTATGTTGAGTCGTTCCGAAAGTTCTTTAAGTTTTTCAACCTATCATAAAACTCGTAGAATAAATGCAGGCAAAGCTATAAAAGTTTCCGATGCATGTTTCTTCCTCTTTCTAGTAGTCCTTTTCTAGTGCTGATTGCTCTTGTGGTTAAGGAAATTATTGTGAAAATTCAAACCAATGGTTTTACTATGCCCACATTTGGTTTTTTCAACATCATCTTCCTTTTGAGCCTCTGATCAAGCCTTGATAGCAGTCAGATAACGTAAAACAAGTGCAGTGCAGTGCAAGTTTTGACACCTATAGCTAGCTTCTCAAAGTCTATAAGATTTATGTTTCTGATTCTATCAAACTTCATTTTTGGTCATCTCAAAACTCATAGAAGATTAAACGGCGCACAATTAAGATGTCATTTGTGCTTATCTTTCTGACAGGCACTTTTGCTTTTTGAATCGTGTAGTCTTTAGCGATAAAATAATCATAATTCTTGATTTTGATCCGGCCTTAGGCTGTGACCGTAAAATGCGAAATTTGACCTTTCGTAACGGTAAACGCTCAAATGCTTTGTAAAGTTGGTGTACAAACATAACCAATTTTTGAAAGTTTAAAATTCCGAGGATTTGTTAGTGTCTGGAGTGTGTATTTTGCGACTTCGCAAAAGTGAAAACTTTTGGAAAAATTGTCTTGAAAAGTACTGAGAAGCCAATGACAGATACCAAAAACGCACTGCATTGCACTTATCGTTAGTTTACGCTATCTAACTGCTTTTGAAACTTATCCAAAATCGAAATGAATTGCCAAAGTTAGGGATTGTAAAAACCATGGGTTCAGAATTTCGGAGATTCTCTCGATGACCACAACGATAACCAGCAGAACAGCATGACTGCTAAAAAGAGAAAGAAAAGTGCGTTGGGAAGAAAAAGAAAAGTGCGTGAAATCGAATAGGTTGAAAAAAAAGAAAAAAAACTTTCGGAAAGACCTAGTACTCCTATAGCCCAAACTACTTATGTTCGTGTAAGCTATTTAATCTGTTTGTTGGCATGTAATCATTTCAGGAAATTAATGATGCGTTTTTGTGAAAAATTTATGCGGACATTACTTGACGATACATATGAATACAATATATATTGCACATAGAAAACCATAAAGTAATACTTTTCGAGTACAGATGAGAAAATAAGAAAATTATCTCGATAAGCGCAATGCAGATTTTGGGAGATGTACCAGCGCTGGGCTATACTTCACATGACAGCATTGCTCAGACACCTGTAAAGTATCCAAATTACATGAAGCAGTTCAGGCAAATCCGAACGTCCATAATTCAAAGGTTCAGAAGGTTTTAAGAAAACCTGCTGAACCTTTGAGTTGCTCAAACGGCAGCTCATATGACTTTACAGCCAAGAAACGAAGCTCGAGTTCTTGCCCAGTATCGTATACTTTCTAAGCGGACTAGTCAACAGTCTTGGGTACGGTATCGGGCAGGAAAACTCTGAATTTCTCGACCACAAATAATTCAGGTGAACTGATACTTGGGCGATAGCGCCTCCTTAACAGTGTATACTAACAAGTAAGAAAGTAAGGAAGTCCGTTAAGAAAGTACAAATCACAAATTTTGTTTGGAGATTGCCTATTATGGGATTCGGATATTACCTGAATCACGGTTCCTTTCATAGTTCGCATATGATGTTTGAGAAGCGTCCACTTTTCAAGCTTAATGGACTTGCTGCCAGACCATGAAGTAGAGGAATCGAAGGCAATTTCAGGAAGATTCTGACTAGATGGACCCACATATGCTTTGGTGGAGCACGCACAAGCCATGCACATCTTCGATTCAGTGAAAGGATATGTATGAAGATACCTAAAAATGCTCCAAGTTTGAGTTTGTTCTTGATTTCTAAATCACAAGGCTTAAGTGAGTGCAGCACCCAATTTTCTAGAAGATAGTCTATGTACTTAGTGCCCTGCGGTGCCGACAACACTTGTGCGTAAAAGTGATCATAGGGCACAAGTCTTGTGTTTGGTACTCTGAACTCTTTTTCGCTCGTAAGAATATGAGCCACTAACTGCCCGAAAAATTGCACCGGGGGGGGGGGGGGGGTGCGCAATGAAAATTTTTCAGATGAAAGGGTGTTGCGTAGCTTTTCGAGAAAGGGCTTGGGACTAAGGACGAGTCACTTGCACAATTCCATTGCTTATGTAGTTAAGTATGTACCTTTCGAAAACCTTCCGAAATCTTCAGGGAGCAGGTAAGGGCGTTAATCGTTGGACCACACTAAGGACCCAATTTGATTCTATCACTACTCACCTGACAAGATACTTCCAATATTCTTCAATTACGCTTTCCTGCCATTGCACCATATCTCCGACTTTTATTACTTTGGAGCACATTTTGGCGAGCCCGGGAATATTGTAAAACTGAAATTTTCAAAGGATAAATGCCTAAACCCAAGATTTCTGTGTAATTCTCACCTCAGCTTCTTTGCGAAGAGCTTCTCGAACATCTTCCTCTAAAGGAAGAGCAAAATTTTCACCGTCTCGGAGGTAATCCAGTACCTCAAACGGTCACTTAGGTTTTAAAACTTTCAGTTAATGAAATTTTCACGTTACCTTTGCAAAATGAGTCGGATATCTGTCTATGAATAGTTCATCCTGATTCCGCCAATGATTCGCAACCATAGCAGAAAGCATCTGTGAATTTATAACGATGTCTTGAAGCTAGAAAAAGCTACATAAAACTCACAGTATTATCGAGTCTTGTCAGGGTTAGAAAAGAAGTTTGGAATATGGTACCACCGACGTTGATTTTAACTCCGTGATGACTCTCACCGGATAGCTTTTTCCTTTTTTCGGTCTAAAACGCAAATAAAAACAAATTCATTGACTTTTCCAAAGGCTTCCAAATCAGTAGATTTCAAAGAAGTTTTGAGAACAATAAACTCACCATTTTGAGCGCTTGCGATATATGGAAACCGGTGAATGAATGACAAACAACTCAGACACTCGCTGCGGCGGCGCGCGCGTCTTATGCGTGCGGCCCCTCATGTCGCCCGCCGCCGGCCGTCAAATAGCGCGCGCGCCGCGAGTAGATGGCACGCGCGCCGCGAGTAAATGGTACGCGCGCCGTGAGTAGATGGGACGCGCGCCATACGATAATGACACGCCGCTCGCACGGTATGAAAATTGCCATTCGCATTTGAAGCACTGCGAATCACGGTGAATCTGTGGTAGACCTGATGACAACCTTCAATTTCAGGCAAACAATGGCTTCAATTTCAAATATGAACTTGAAGTTTCCAAAGTTTCCAAATTTTTGAAATTTGAAAATTCAAATTTCAAAAATTCAAAAATTCAAATTCCCAAATTTGAATTCAAACTCGGCACCTACTCACGGTGCTTATGAGGACTGAGTCTCAGTGGAAGAACTAGAAGAATCCCACTTGTGTTAATGAGACAACTTCATTGCGAAACAGCGATAACCTTAATGAATTGGCGATAAAGCACCCAAAACACTGCGTCGTACTTCACGCAGGTATCGCTTGTGCTTACAGCGTGCGAAAATGTGGAAGATATCATGGCACGCCACTCACTGATAGATTGCGCGCCGCTCGCACTCTCAACTAGGGCGCGCCGTTCGCAATACAGTGTTATAGTGGCGCGCGCGCCGCCGCGCCGAGTGTCGAATAAGCGCGCCGGCGGCCGTAATAAGGTGCGCCGCTCGCCGGCTGCGAACGATGGCGCGCCGCTCGCACTGCAGCCTCAACTGTGGCGCGCCGCTCGCACGGCAGCCTCAAATAGGGCGCGCCGCTCGCACGGCAGCATCAAATAGAGCGCGCCGCTCGCACTGTAGCGCTATTATGGCGCGCCCGCCGCCGCAGCGAGTGTCTGAGAATGCAGCATCCGGCGGTCCTATGACCCTTAGGCAAGATCGTGGCGGGACCCAAAATTGCTTTGTTCCATTCTGTTTGAATCTTTATACGCAAACCAAAATGTATAGTCAACATTGTGACTCAATACCTACACTTGAGGAGGAGGAGAAAAATCCTGATAAGAAATTTTTGACCAATCGCATTTACATTGACATTAACAACGATAAAAATCTTTTTCTTTTTGATGCGAATCAAATAAAAACAGGATTTTTACTTTTTTTGTGATTATTACCATAAACTGAAGACAGCGCCAGCACTAGTTTTTTTGTGCTGGTACAAGATTTTATGATGTTGGTCAACTCAAAGAAAAAACACCGAGGGGAAACAAAATATTAGGAAATTTGATGCTAGCAAAAAAATTACGATTTAGCAAAATAACTGTACTTCTCCAATAGAAGGTTGCCCTGATAATATTACCAAATTCAGAGTTCTTGAAATGTTTGCTATTACTTTCGTTTACGTGATGAAAACTGGACATTTATCCAAAGATTGTTTTTAGAAGACATTTGCTAGTATTTCTTCATTGTAGCATTTCTGTTTGAATTTATGCAGATGTGAAATGCATATCCCTGTCCTATCTGTTTGTTGATGATTTCCGTATCATCAACCATTGAACTCTATATTTTAGATAGCCTAGGGAATCCCCGTAGGCCAAATTGTGAGCTACTCACTCTTGGGTATCTAATCACTCAAGAGTGAGTGGTACCCGTGCGCCAGGAGTGTAACCAATCGGCAGCATCTCCTTTCAAGCACCAGCTCCTGTACATTGTACCCTGTACTCGGTCAGCTCCGCCTTCCTTCGTATATAAGGAGCCTTCGAATGTATCAAAGGTTGCTCCCCGGTCCACACCGGGGCACCTCAACTTCTTCACGACTAATCTACGCCCGTGCGAATAAATCTATAATCCACAACCTCGTCTACCCCTAGTCACTTGGTACCCACCAAATTGGTGCATCGGCCAGTGATTTTCCTTGTATTTCCTCGGCGATTCCCTTTAAGGACCCAGAAAATCAAGGCCTAAGACCCGCGTGGCAGGCTCTATAGCCAATTATTCGACTCTCGTGATTGCTGGTTCATCCACTTTCGCGACCAAGAGTCTTACTAAGCTGTCAGGTCCTATCCACAGCTTAGTAGAGGTTTCTAGCTAACTGACTGGTTCATCCACAGTTAGCGACAGACTGCTCGCACTCTCGGCTACTAATTAGCCAATATTCGACTCTAGTAATTGTTGGTGGGTGGCGAGCAAGAGGAACGATAGCTGGCGGGTGTCAATAACTCGCGCATACTTCACCGTCATTTTTGTCCATCAGCGCACAGAAATTTAGACATTTCCTTCTTTTGTGCTTTCATCTAGACAGGAGAATCGGATAGAATGTGTTTTCTTAAAAATGAGGTGTTAAATTAGCTGAAAATGTCAAAAAAAAGGTCTCAAAGGTGAAACTTCAAGTATTACAAGCTTATTCCTGCAAGAACATCACCGAATTGCTTCATACAATCGGGATTCAAGCAAGGCTCATTGAGTAAATAGGGTAGAGCATTGATTTTATATCTGCTAATTTTGAAAGTTTGCAATTTCCGAATTGTGGAGGCAAATAGTGCATTGGCACCAGCAGCTTGCAATTACTATCGTTCCTCTTGCACCACACCCATTGTTGGTTCCTCCACCTTTACTAATACGAGTCTTGCTAAGCTATCAGGTCCTATCCATAGCTTAGCAGAGGTTTTCTAACTAATTGACTGGTTCATCCACAGTTAGTAACAGAACTCCTCGAACTTTTTTGGCTTCCATTAGCCAAAAAGACTCTGTGATTGCTGGTCCATCCACTTTCACAACAAGAGTCATCTTGCGAAACTATCAGGTCATATCTATAGCCTAGCAAAGAGGTTTTTCTAGCTGACTGACTGGTCCATCCACAGTTAGCAACAGAAATCCTCGAACTTTTTTGGCTTCCATTAGCCAAAGACTGTGATTGCTGGTCCATCCACTTTCACAACAAGAGTCATCTTGCGAAGCTATCAGTTCATATCTATAGCCTAGCAAAGAGGTTTCTCTAGCTGACTGACTGGTCCATCCACAGTTAGCAACAGAAATCCTCGAACTTTTTTGGCTTCCATTAGTCAAAAAACACTCTGTGATTACAGCGCACAAGCCAACCAGGCGCGCTTGCTGACAGCTAGTAGACGCTCGGCACTCCATTGCCAGCTCACTAGAAAGCTTCCTTGCAACCAGTAAGGAGAGCTATTGTATCGAGGCCAGCCCTGCTGTCGCCTTCAAGCCAAAGCGACCAAAAAAAAAAGGAGGATACCACGTCCAAATTGGAACGCTTGAAACCACTACACCAGTGCACGACCCTACCCCGTGCAGCAAAACAGAAAATGGCAGCGCTCCAGATTTTCAAGTCAAAAATCAACAATGCCTGCGCACTCGTGAAGTCATACGAGTCGGAAGTGAACGAGATCAACACATCATTCACTTTTCCGGTATAAAGAACTGAATGCGAGACGTACATCAAAACCAATATGGGAGAGATAACGAACGCATCTGCTCAACTCTCTGCAAAATGCGGTCAAACTTCAAGACACACAAGTGAACGCCGCGATCGAATACATTGGAGCAGGAAATGAAGAAAAAGAGAGAGACAAGCTTATGACAGAACTCAGCAAACACTTGGAGTTGGAATCTCTTCATTTGGAAGTCATGGTCGTGCGGTGGCAGAACAAAGTTCAGTTCCGTCAAAACGATTTGAAAGATCAAGCTGCATTATTGCACACCAGTCTGCCAAGCACAAGTCATGCGGCCAGCGACGAAGACCAGACCTGGAACGGCAGCCTTTCAGAGCGCAACGAAAGGCAAATAAAAATCCGGAAGCCTCTGCTCGTCCGTACCTTCTCAGGGAACCTCAGAGAGTTTAACAGCTTCTGGACAGTGTTTGAATCTCTCATACACGCCGACGAAGACCTATCCGACACTGACAAGTTCCTCTTTCTAAAGCAAGCTGTAGCCTCCAGGCGCCCGGCCTAGGTTTTTTGTCACACTATTAGCCTTGAACCCAACCCACGGGATGTACGAATCACCATATCTCGTGTTTCGGTTCTAAGATGTATAGTTCGTTCCTCAATAGCTTTTCAACAGTTCCTCTATTCACTGTTCCGTATCAGCTCTTCTGTACTACTCTTATTCTCTGTATTTGCATATAAGCTTCTTCTTGTGGTTTGTCATATCTTGTGATAAACCATTTATATTTTCCCAGTTGTTCTGCTAATTCAGTGGAACCTGCGGTCTAGACCGTCCTACCGCCACTTGGGGGCCGAACCGCTGACTTAGCACCGACAACTGTGGAAGCGTCGGAGACCTTCCAGAAGAAGCTGAATTTTGGAGCGTCAACGACCTCCAGATCAATTTGAAGCGGCGATTGTATCCCGCATAAGCCTATCGCGTCTTAGACCTATAGATTGGGGCACCAGTGGTCCCCATATTGATTTCTGAGGCGGCGGACGTATCCCCGCGTAACCTATCGATCTATTGGTCGATTAGCATTGACGGTATAGAGCGCGCTTAAGGCCGCTTATACGAATTGCAAGAGCTACCGCGAGTGCGTAGCATTACAAAACCCATACTTTACGGAAGTTTGGTTGAGCTACTCGGTGCATTGTTGTGTACATTCGAGGTTCACGCCGCTCGCTTGTAGTCTCGATCGAATCCTACAGTCAAAAGAGTGTTTGCTGTAGAAAGATTTGAGTAGCATGATGAATGAGGAAGAGGAACATAGAGCCCAGCCAAGTATAGATAACGAGGTGATTAATGAACGGGGAGAAGAGCGAAGCCAGCACGAACCCATCTGACAGTGATGCAGATTGGGAAACAGACACTTCAGAAGGCAACTCTCGTCATATAGTTCGAAGTAAATACCAAAGATTTGCGAACCTAAATAAGAAAGGTAACTTACTTTTATCGGATCGCCAAGTGCCGACAGTGCGGAATGCGCAAGATAATGCACGGAAGACCTCCTCGCATAG